AGAACTTCCTAGGAGCCAAACTTAAACAATGAATAGAATTTCAAGAACAGGCAGACACAGAAATTTGACAGTATAATCGCCCCTCAGTATCCACGAGGGATTCATTCCAGAATTCCCCATGGATACAAAATCCTTGGATGCACAAATCCCTCATATGAAATGGTGTACAGCAATGTACGCAAATTAGTGCCAAACATTTGAAATAAAATCAGTCTTTTCTTTCTTTCTTTTTTTTTTGTTAACCCTCACCCAAGGACAGTTTTCCATTGATTTTTAGATAGAGTGGATGGGAAGGAGACAGGGAGGGATGGAGGGAGGGAGGGAGAGAGAGAGAGAGAGAGAGAGAGAGAGAAACTATGTGAGAGAGACACATGACCGGTTGCTTCCCACACAACCCAGCCCGACCAGGGTCAGGGATCAAACCTACAACCCAGGTACGTACCCTTTACTGAGAATCGAACCTGCGTCCCTATGGTGTGCAGGCCAATGCTCTAACCACTGACCCCCACTGACCAGGGTCAGTCTTATAAAAGAAACACAAAAACCACAAGGTATGCATTCAGCCCTCGCCATCTATGGATTCCCACCTGCAGCTTGAAAATATTGGTTTGGTCCACAGTCAGTTGATTGTGAGGATGTGGAACCTGCAGACATAGAAACCATGGACATGGAGGACTGACTGTACTACAGGACTGTAGCATATGGATTCTCAGTGTCACCAGACGTTACTAATTTGTTCTCCAAAGATATTGTTCTTCCATCAACAGTGAGAGTTTTCGTCTTTATAACACACAGTATATAATCAGAGATCATTTTAAAATGCTTTAGCCAGCCTGGCCGGTGTGGCTCAGTGGGTTGAGCGTCCTCCCAGGGACTGAGAGGTCCCAGTGTGATTCCGGTCAGGGTACATGCCTGGGTGGCAGGCTCGATGCCCTGTGGGGGGCGTGCAGGAGGCAGCCAATCGATGTCTCACTCTCTCTCCCATCGATGTTTCTGTCACTCTCTCCCTTCCGCTCTAAAAGTAATCAATAAAAACATATTTTAAAAACCACGTTAGCCTATGTGATGGGTAGAAAGGGTATAAGGATATCTCAATTTGATTTTTATTTCCTAGCCTCACATTGTCCTCAGCTGTTTCATATGTCTATTTCTATACTATGACATAAAAGGCCCAGTCTGTTTAAGAATGGGTCCTGTGTGGCTGGAGCCCAGGACACGGAACACAGAGGACAGCCTCTCTCTTCCTGCAGAGGTTTCTCCAGAGCCTGGCTCTCTCCCTCTCCACCCCGTAAATTGCCGGTTTATGTCCACAGATAGGGACAAGCCTCCCTTTGCTCCTTGAATGCGCCTGGGTAAATTAAAGACTTTATAAATGAACATGGTTGAAAAATGCTGGTCTTGACAGAAACATCTGAAACCATTTCCTCCATTTTTGCCCAAAACTTGGTTTCTGCTCAATTTAGATTATGAAACAGTCAAGGTGCCTTAGAAAACACTAAATTGGGCAAATTCCTGGCAGGAATATATCTACTCCTCTCCTCTCATCCAGAACGTAGGAAAGTGCAGGAAAGATAAACCAAGGTATGAACCGGATGTTTTTGTTTTTTAATCCTCACCCAAGAATATATTTTTCCATTGATTTCAGAGAGAGTGGGAAGGAGGGAGGGAGGGAGAGTGAAAGGGAGGGAGGAAGAGAGAGAGAGGGAGAGAGAAACATCCACGTGAAAGAGAAACATCAATCGGTTGCCTCCGCCATGCACCCTGCCCAGGATTGAACTTGCAATCCAGTTACATTCCCTTGACCGGGAATTGAACCCTCGACCTTCCGGTGCAACAGATGACTCTAACCACTGAACACACCAGACAGGCTAAACCTGATTTTTTTACACTCATTGGGAGGGTATTGCCATGAAAGTTCCTATGGAATACAATTTTAAGGTAAATTCCATAAATGATTCTAGGAGAAAAAGATTGTTTGTTTGTTTGTTTAGTTAATCCTCACCCAAGGATATTTTTCCATTGATTTTTTTTTTTTTTAGAGAGAGTGGGAGGGGAGACAGAGAGGGGGGCAAAAAACATCAATGTGAGAGAGACATCAATTGGCTGCCTCTCGCACACACTCCCAATTGGGGTGGAGATCGAACCTGAGACCCTTCTGTACATCGGCCGACATTCTAACCACTGAGTGACACTAGCCCGGGTGAAAATTACTGTTTTTAACCAGAATCTTGTTTAGATTCTTTCCATGGTAAGAACAAAGTAACAAGCAAAAACATTAAAAACAGCACATAGCAGAACACTCAGCAAATATAACAAAAACCAGTGTTCTCAACTCTGGTCAACACACAGCACTAAAGCCAGGAAAACCTATAGTAGTCCAAATTCTGATTAATGTGGTTCAACTAGCACATTCTCTACTTCAACGGAAAATCACTATAAATACTTGCTCTCCAAAAAAGAGTAACACTATCATACTACACTGCCTCTCATACACATTTATTTGTCAAATCCAGTGGTGTTCAAGTCCGCAGGAGACATCTGGCCAGTTTTCATTTTAAGAGAGTTTTGTTCTCACACTTGCAGGAGAGTGCTCCTGGTATCTAGTACGTAGAGGCCAACGATGCTGCTAAACCTCCTACAATGAACAGGACAGCACGTACAATAACTAGTTATCTGGCTCAAAATAATCATCTGGCTGGCTGGGACACAGTGACAGACACAGGCAGTTCGAGATGCTGAGCTCTTCTTACAGACCTCCAATGAAGCTAGAGAACTTAAGAGTTCTAGAGTTTGCTTGATATTGACATAGTTAAATAAAAGTTTCCAATTTAGTAATTTTCACTTGAAATATGTTAGAGAGAGTGGAACATAGTCCAGGATCTTAGCCATGTTACTAATCAGTGTACCATCTATATTTATTTATTAGCTTATCACATCTACCTAAACAAAAGTTTATCATCAAACTGACTACTGCTGGCTCTCCCTATTACAAATTAATTATTTTCCTACATTTAGGTGATAACTGAATTCGCCATGCCCACCCACCAAAAGCAACCAGTCCTCAGATTTCAGCAGTGGTTTTTATGTGGTCATTTTCTAAGGAAAACATTCATATCTGAAATTCCCTTTCTGTGATGTTACAATCCAATAAAACTTTACTGTCCAGCTCCATGAAATGTAAAAGCGAGAGTGGGAAAGGAAGGTGATTTGGGCTGTAAACTTAAAGGCAGCAATGAAGAAATGCCTTCTATAAAAAGTAACGGGTGTTGGTGATCAAGTGAAATAAAACAGACAAAGGCTGAAGAGATTCCTCTAAAAGTAGCAAAACCCTTGGAGATTATTTTATTTCCCGGTAAGTATCCTTAGGTGTTTCACAAGGGAAGTCATTTTTCCAGTGATGATTTTTTTTTTTAATGTCTCCATTTCCAAGTGTGCTGAAGGCACTTGTCTAATTTCTGTTATACTAAAAGAAAAATTTTAAGTGATGAAAAAATTCAGTTCACATTTAAAAGAACCACACAGGTTTCCGAAATTCATTTTAAAACCATCACATAGATCTGAGAGAAAGAAAAGCATTGTGTTCACTGACGGAAATCCATCTGAATGCTGAAGTTTCTCAAGCTAACTATACAGGAATGTAGAAAGATGAACAGTTTGGCCATTGAAGCCTTCTGAAACACTTAAAGATGAAGACAGGCCCTGGTTGGGTGGCTCAGTTGGTGGGAGCATCTCCTTGCAACAAAAGATCGGGGTTCAATTCCTGATCAGGGCACATACTTAGGATGTGGGCTCAATCCCTAGTCCAGAGGCAACTGATCAATGTCTCTCTCTTTCTCTCTCTGTCTCTCTCCCATCCCCTTCCTTTTTCTCTAAAAAAAAAAATCAATGAAAAACATATCCTTGGATGAGGATTTTAAAGATGAAGACAAAACTATTGTTACAGAAATTAGCTAAACTCTACACCAAATGTCAACTTCTGAGTGTAAGCCTGAAATAAAAATGTCTGTCTCTGTGTTACGCGAAATTCGAGCAGTAAAGTGCCCTATGTACTTACCAAAAAAAGTGCCAAAATGATCCTAATTTTAAAAAAGTACAGCCGAACACTTATATGCAAGCTCTAATTTCAGATCACTGAGCACAGTGTTAAAGCACAAACGTGGAAAACTGCAAGGATATCTCGTGTGCAGCAACGGGCAGCCAAGTTATGTTTAGACAAACATGTGGTGAGACTGTCTTTAATCTGGCTAAATGTAAAAAGTTTTGTTTTACATGAACTTGAGTATTCACTGCCGTTCCGGCTTCTGAAAACAAGCACCCGCACCAGGTTTAGGAATGAGGCGGCGAACGGGAGGCGAAGGGGAGACGCCGTGTGTCCACAGCTTCCCTTCGGAGTCCCCAAGGAGGAAAGCTGCTGCCCCAAGGTGTTGGGTTGCCAGGCAGCCTCACTGAAAACAACCAAGGTTTTGAGCATTGTTTTTGGCAAGAGGTAGGTGTTACCGGCAGCTTCCTGGGGCGCTTGGAAGGAATGTGTCACCATCAATCAGAAAGTACACTGAGCTCCGTGTTTAGGGAGCACCGCCTCGCCCAACACGGATAAAACATGCCAACGCCAGGAAAGGGGGAATGAGGGCTGCAGGAAAGGTGTTGTGCCCAGGGACCTGCAAGACCAAAAGGAAATCCCGACTTGGGCAGCACAAAGATCCCCGTGCTCTGGGGTAACTGAGATCCCAGAGCCGCGGGCCGGGCGGGCGCTCCCACACTGCCCGGGGGGCCCGGGGGGCCAGCAGCGCGAGAGCAGTTCTGCAGGGACCTCTGCCTTCCTGGGGTGCAGGGCCAGTGCACCCCACTCCCCACGGAGGGCCTGGGCAGCGTCCAGTGCCCACGGGTGCCTGCGGTGCTGGGGAGGGGCGGGCTCCACACCTCCTCACCTGGCAGCCCTGCCCAGGGCTGAAGATGAATGGGCGCCCGGGACGAGCCCCAGGGGACGGGACAGGGCTCACCTGCGGGGATGCTGCAGGGCTTCTCCGCGTCGGCACCTAAGCAGGGACTCCAGGGCTGGACGGCCAGGGCCAGCAGCAGGAGCAGAGGTTGCACGGCGTACTCCCCCATCTTCGGCCCCTCGAGGGCCGGGCGGCTCGGGCACCCCCACTGCCGGCAGCGCGAACTTCTCGCGAGAGCGCGGACAGTTCCCGGTCCCCACGGCCCAGGACGCGCGGGAGCGAGCAGCCGGAGTGCGCGCAGCGGGCGGCAGAAGCGGCGGTCGCGGAGGCGCCCCCGGCTCCAGCGACTTATAGGCTCCCCGAGGGGGAGGCGACGGGGCGGGCCGCGCCCTGGCTATTGGCCGCCGGCTGACCCGCCGCGGTGCCCGTGCGGTGGCCTCCGCTGCTTCCCGCCCCAGCCTGGGGTTGTTTGCTCAGCGCGACCTATTTCGGGGCCGTCTGCGGCTACGTGTGGAGGCTCACGAGGGCGTCCGGCGGCCCGGAGCGCGGGCTCCCGGAGCGGGCCCGGGACAGCGGGGAGGAGCCGAGGGCGGCGCTCCGGTCCCCGCTGCCCAGCACCGGCCCTTCCTTCCCGGCCCGAGGGTGAGACTTCGCCCCCCTGCACCAGGGGGTCCCTGTGAGGGGACTGGAAGCCCCGCAGTCGGGGCGGAAGGGCAGCTGGCCAGACGCTGGCAAGGGAACGACGCCCCCTCGGCCCCTGTTAAACTCGGGGTCCAGTTTCCTCTCCCTGCGGGAGCAAGGCCCCGCTTTTATTGCTCTGGAAGCCGAAAGTTGTTGGTGTCCGTGAACATTTCTTCCTCGGCCCGTGCCAGGGAGCCCTGGGCCCTCCAGCGGTGCCTGTAAATCCCGCGGAACTGGAGCCGGGAGCCTGGGGCTGAGCCCTACCTGCGCGTCCTTCGGTGCGCGTGGAAAATTACTCCCGGGACGCGGACCCGCCACCGCTTGGCTCTCGGCGTCCTCCCTGCCTCCACTTTTATTCCCCGCTAAGCAAATTTCGTTTTCCTATGTTGCTTCTCGACATTTTCGCTGGCCCAGTGTTTCATCTGTTGGGATGAGCCGGGGAGAAATACAACTTAAGGCGGGAGTGTGAAGATGTGGCCGCATATATTTTGTGACATGAGCTGTATTAGGGGACAAAAAGACTCAGACCGGCCGTGTGGCATTGTTCTGTAATCTACCTCTGTATGCTCAGATGCAGGGGGGATCCTGATTTGAGCCAATACCCTTTCCAACGCTGAACCTTTGAAGTTAAAACAAAAAACTATTGGAAAAGCTATGTTCCATTATGATCCCATTTTGTCTAAAATTAAGATGATATCTAGATAAGAGGAGCACTAAATGGTCCCACAAAAAACAAACAAAAAAACAGGTGGAAGCCCTAGTCGGGTAGCTCAGTTGGGTAGAGTGTCACCCTAATACACCAAGGTTACGGGTTCGATCCCGGTCAGGATACATACAAAAAGCAACCAATGAATGCATAAATAAGTGAAACAACAAATCTCTCGCTCTCGCTCTCAGAATCAATCAGTAAGTAAAACCAGGTGGAACACCCTGCAAAGAAATGTTGCCTTGACTGTGACATTTTAGAAAAAGAATCATTTCCTCTGGCCAGAGCTAAGCTAGTTGTTACAGTGTTTTGAAGGTTTGGTCTTGGTTTTTTAAAAGGAAAATTGGAGAAAGTTCAGAGAAGAGTAACAAATAATTAAAGAAATGGAAAGTATGACCAGTGAGAAGAAAGACATGAGGTTTATTCAGCCTGCAGGAGAAAAAGCTAAGAGATGGATACCTTAATAACACCCTCCAGTGTGCGGGCGGTGCTGCTCCGTAAAGCCAGACAGAAAGCAAGTAGCTTTAGGCCAAATCTCAGCCTCCAGAATTTCAAACTTATCTACTGGGCCCGACCTCTGTCAAAGTTGACTTCTTGCTTTCCTGTTGTCCAGTGTCTTCAAGAAATCACGTGGTCAGAAGCTAGCTCTCTGCCTGCCCTCGTGGCCTGGTGCACAGTGACAGCCTCTCCACATCACAACTCTTGCAATGTCAGCCAATCATTGCAGGCTACTGTGCCATTCACCCTTCTCTGTTGAGAGACACAGGTCAGGACTGTAGGAATTGCATAAAGAAAGTCTCTCTTTGGGATTTTCAAAATAGCTAGACACATGGATCACATTTGAAAGAGCCTCGATTCTGAAACAAACTCCTTCCTACCGTCTTGTACTCCCAGCGGTCTGTGGAACCCCTCTCCTTGGGCATTCCACTGGCACGAAGTGTGAATGTCTTTAACTCATCAGGTCCAGATCCCCCAGCTCCTCATCTCGACTAATGACACCGCTCCTCTCTAACTCACAGGGCCCCACAACAGCCACCCCAACACACAGCTTGACACCAATTCCTGTCATGTTTTTTCTTATTTTCTCTCCACTTGCTCCTTCCCATGCTCACCACCATCTCACTAATGCACTTCTGAATGTACCCTAACTGTGCTGTTTTAATTTTTTCCACCCTCTGACTCTCCCTCCAGTACTACACCATTAGATACCACAGCTAGATTCATCACACACCGTTATCCTTTTGAATGCTTCATCCCCTAACTAAAAGATTTCACAAAGAATTTGGAAACAATCCCAAAACTCTTAACCTAGAATTCAAATTCCTTTGCTATCAAACCTAATCACCACATACCCTATATCCAGCCAATCTGGTTTGCTTTATGACCTCCCAAAGACTTTGTCATTTTTATTCTCTAGAGTTTGGGTAAGAACCACTGTCTTCATTTGGGTCCTTCCAGGGGCCAACCCTGAACCAGATTTAAAGACCAGCCCTTTGTCGGGAGATTGAAGGAAAAGAGGTAGTTGAAGATAAAGTGATACAGGAAAGAGAAGTTAGGCAGTAATGGGTACATTATTAAATCTGCCTCACTACGTGACTAGAGCTTGCCTTTGTCCATGTCATGTCTGTCTAAACCTCTTCTCCTCCCTTCTTGGGCTAACTTCAGTCAGACTCAGAGGCTACCTCCTATAGGAAGCCCAACTGGAGTGCCTCATCCCACCCTAGGCCAGCTTAGGTATCCCTTTTAGATGACAACTCTTTAAACAAAACACTCATTTTTGACAGATTTTTATTAGTTTGTTTATTGGCTGAGGGAAGGATTCAATTTTTTTATTCATCTTTGTATAGCAAATAACCGGCACACAGTAGCATGTATTCATTCATTCATTTGTTCATTCAAACAATATTGTGTGCCTACATGCATACTATGTCTCAGGCACTGTTCTAGGTGCTGGTAAAAGAAATATATCGAAAAAAACAGCCCTGTTTTTATAGAGATTTTACTTTTATATTTTTTTTTTCTTTATTGACTTTAGAGAGGGAGAGATAGAAACATTGATGAGAGAGAACAGCAATTGGCTGCTTCCCACATGCCCCCACTGGGGATCGGGCCCACAATCTGGGCATGTGCCCTGATCAAGAATCGAACCAGCGACCTCTTGGTGCAGGGGTCGATGCTCATCTACTGAGCCACATTGGCCTGGTAAGAGTTTATTCTTATATAATGAAAGAAATAAACACATGATGGTGGAAGTGGTAGAGAGAAAATAAATCAAGAAAGTTAACTAGAAAGAACCAAGAAAGAGAGGGTATGGCCCTGGCCAGTTTGGCTCGGCGGTTAGAGCGTCGGCCTGCGGTCCGGAGAGACCCGGGTTCGGTTCCCGCTAAGGGCACGTACCTCAGTTGCAGTTTGTCCCCGGCCCTGGTTGGGTCATGTGGGTGGCGGCAACCACTCGATGTGTCCCTTTCACCTCTCTCCCCCCCCCCCCCCACTCTATCTGAACAAAAAATGGAAAAATGTCCTCGGGTGAGGAGAAAAGAATAAAGAAAGAAAGAGAGGGTATGCCACAACTGTGAAAGGTCTCGCTGAGAAGGTGCTGCTTATGCATCACCCGAAAGCAGTGAGGGAAAGAAGTGGATTCTGGGGCCAGAACACATCTGGAGTGTTGCAGCTGGGAAGGGGCAATGAGTTCAGTGACTGGAAAATTAGCAGGAGATGAAGCCTGAGGGGTAAAAGGAGGGGAGCGGTCAACGCGCTACACTTGAGGGTTAGAGTAGAACCTGGTAACGACCTGGCCTTGAGGACATGCGGCGAAGTGAAATAAGCCCGACACAGAAGGACCAAAACTGCACGATTCCACTTCTGTCTAAAGTCACCAAACTTGCCCTGGCCAGGGTAGTGCAGATGGTTGGAGGTGGTTCCATTCCCGGTCAGGGCACATCCTGGCAGGGTGCAGAAGCAGCTGATCAATGATCAGTGTTTGTCTCTCTCTCTCCCCCTCTCCCTTTCCCCACCCCTCCCCCTTCCTCTCTTTAAAATCAATTTATAAAAAAATAAAGTAATTAAACTCATAGAAGCAAAGGAATAGAATGGTGGTTTCCAGCAGCTGGGGGGAAGGGGGAAGAGGGAGTCACGACTCAGCCAGTATAAGGTATAAGATCTTCCTTATGCCAGATGAGTAAGTTCCAGATCTATACAGCAGTGTGTCTTCAGATAACAGTACTGTATCAACAACACCTAAAAAGTTGTTCTTATCACAATGACAGAGAGAGAGCGCATTATTTGGATGATGATATGCAGAGAGCAGTGACCTACTCTTATGTGGGGTTTGAAAGGTCGCAGAGTCCAGATGCTGTCTTAGGTAGATGGGTGGGAAAATTAAACGCTAGGCCCGAGACCAGTTTGGAGGTTGACAGGGTGGTTTGGGAGATAGCGGTGGTTTCAACCTGGTTGGTAGAAGTAAAAGCAAATCATTTCTAAGTAGATGCTGATTGCAGAGCCAGCACAACTTGATGGTGTGAGCGTGAGTGTGAGAGTCACAACAGGGAGTCAGCGATATTAATCAAGGGATATTTGTTGAATGAATGAGAAGTAAAGCCTTGGGAACATGTGTTAATAGGGTGGAAAGGGAGGGGTTAAATGAAATAGATGAGAAAGAAAACAAACAGCTAAGAGATAAAACTAAGAGAAGATAGATCCTTGGGTGGGGTGGAGGGGCTGGAAATAGTCGGCAAAGGAGACTGTAAAGTCAGACAAAGAGAAAGCATTCTCTCGAGGAGAGACCTGGGAAACAGAGGAAGCCTGAGGGAAAGCCACTGGGGTCAAGAATGTGAGATCAAAGCCTTAGATGGTGGGAGCAGAAACCACAGTGGCTGTAAGACTAAGCTGGGGACGAGGGTGTGGAGGACCTTGAAACAGAGGCTTCATTCTGAGTCTTTCTTCTAAATCAGGACTGTCCTGCCCGGCTGGTGTGGCTCAGGGCTTGGGCATTGACCCTGCACCAAGAGGTCGCTGGCTCAATTCCTGGTCAGGGCACAGGCCCAGCTTGTGGGTCTGATCCCCAGTGTGGGGCATGCAGGAGGCGGCTAATTGATGTTCTCTCTCATCAATGTTTCTATCTCTCTCACCCTTTCTCTTCCTCTCTCTCTAAATTCAATAAAGAGGAAAAAATGTAAAAAATCAATCAATCACTCAATCAGGTCTGTCCTGCAGATGTCCATGAGTGGCCTTTCTAACTTCAGGGTGAGCTAGTTGCCACCAAGCTGAAGGTATTTTTTTTTCTTTTTTTTTTAAATCCTCACCTGAGGATATTTTTCCACTTATCACAGATAGAGAGGGAGGAAGGGAGGGAGAGAGAGAGAGAGAAAAACATCAATGTGAGAACAACACGTCTACTGGTGCCTCCCACGTGACCCGACCAGGGCCAGGGGCAAACCGCGACCAAGGTATATGCCCTTGACCGGAATTGAACCCGCGACTCTTTGGTCCGTGGGCCCATGCTCCAACTGCTGAGCCAAACCGGCCAGGGCCAAAGCTCCTTTCTCTACGGATATATGAAAGGCTTGTGGGTCCCAGCACTTTTTTTTTTTCTTTTCTTTAATCCTTTAAGCCACAATGCGAAGGGAACGGTTTCCAAGGCGACTTTTCCAAGAGTTGACTATCCAAACAACATCGGTATGAGAAGACAAAAGTGAACTGCTAAGCATCTGGTAGACTTCTTCACCCAACAAAAAAAGTATTTATCCTAGCGGACATGTGCGCGGGTCATCCTCTGAAGGTTTTCACTCCTCCGCTTTCTTACTGGCTTCAGGGAAACACAGTGATTTCTTATTTATGAAGTCTGGTTCTCCTGCGGCACTTCCAGCCGAAGGACCATTTTATTAACCTTCATCATATGTTTTAGTCATCCGAGCATGTCTGTATAGAACCCTCCTGTCGACGTAAGTCACTTCCAAACCTGTAAAGAATTTTTATGAGTTTATTTGAGCCAAGCCGACAACATGTGCCGGGGAGCGAGATCGCAAATGCTCTGTAGAATAGCGCTTTTGAAGGTCCTTTTATGCATTTGAAATTAAAGAGGGGAAGTAAGGAAGATTCCAGGAGGATGGGGAAAAACAAGGTGGAGATTGGCTCGCAGACAAGTTTAGATGATTGCTCTCTTGGGGGTGTTCATGGCTTATCTCACAGATGGCTCAACCTGGGTGCACAGAAACAATGGACAGGGCTTGCTTAGGGCAAAGCCAACCTAGCACTGAAGAAGTTGTATGTCCCCACTGAGAGCCTTGAACAATCTGACGTCGTCTGTCTGTCTTTGTGGCAGCCCAGGTTGTTTAGGGGACTACCGAAAAAGAAGAAGAAAAAGAAAGACAGGGCGCGGGGGCAGAAGTTATATGTCTGGGGCATGACTCCCCGCCATGACCTGCTCAGTTAGGAATTTATGATCAGGTCACCCCGTGAGATTACTTTCCATACCACCCACCCCTTTTTTTTCTGTTTTTTTTTTTTTTTTTCTTAATGTGGAGCACTTCATGAACTTGAGTGGCATCCTTGCGCAGGGGTCATGCTGACCTTCTCTGTGTCACTCCAATTTTAGTGCATGTGCAGCCGCCGTGAGCCCCAGAACCCCTTCTTTGGTTCCCACTCCCTCGGTAGATATGAGCTGAGAAACCCTTGTACCCAGCAAAATGATGTCTGCTGTAAAATTAAATCTAGCCGGGATAGTGAAGAAAGCCAGAGAGCACACAGCATTCAGAAAATGATCCTAACAGATGTTTTGTGACTAGTTGCACCGATCTGGACAGCTGTCTAGGCCATGAGTCACCCTAAAGGTCAGCAGCAGAAGTTTGTGGCTTCTGCATTCGTTCTTCCAAACATATGTTGCTGAAGTTCCAAGTTCTGACGTATTTGTTGACATAGGGATACCGGTATGTCAGTAATTATGATTAACTACCAGATAGTGTAAAAAATTTTTTGTTCGACAGTAATTTCTAATGATATTTTTTAAATCCTCACCCGAGGATACTTTTCCATTTATCTTCAGATAGAGAGAGAAACATCGATGTGAGAGAGACATGTTAACTGGCTGCCTCGCGCACAACCCCGACCAGGGCCGGGGACCGAACCACAACTGAGGTACGTGCCCTTGTTCGGAATCGAACCTGAGACTCTTTGGTCCATGGGCCAATGCTCCAACCACTGAGCCAACCTGGCCAGAACTAATTTCTAATGATTTTTAATGTCTCTCTGCCTTTATGGCCCCTCATTTTCCACTTCTCAGGACTCTCAACTCCTTTACCTGGAATCATCACTGTCCAGAGGCAGATTTGCCCTGAAGCTGGGAAAGATTGTCGTTTCTCCTCACTTGCAAAGGAAAATGTGATGTTGGGAGTAGCGGGGAGTTGTATAGTATCTGAGGTTGGAAAGAAAGCCAGGTTGTAAAAAAGAACAATTACTGAAAGAAAAAAAAACTCAAAGAACAATAAAACAAAAGAAAGAAAAAATGATTACTGAGAAACCACTTCTTAGAAACTATCTAGGGGATCTTAGGAAGTGAGGCCTGAGCCCCAGGGATACAGTAAATGTTAGGTTTTCTTCTCTTATTACACATAAGTACCCCTTTCTTTTATATTGTAGTCCTAGTCTTTTAATTTTTCTTAAAGATTCCTTAGAATGGTAAAAACTTTAGGTCCCATTAAACCTTAATTTGCTCCTTGTCCTACCCCTAAAATCTAGACCCAATCCTTTCCATAAGTATTGGCAATATAAAGAATCAACAATTTTTGGGCTCTGCATGGAGTTGGACCTTCCTGAGTCAACGCTGATCGTAGGTTCCAACAATGGTATTCTTACCTCAGCAATCTGGAGGAAGAAGAACAATGTTGGAGGAATCATACTACCTAATATCAAACTATACTACAAGACCATAGTAATCAAAACATTATGGTACTGGCATAAAAACAGACATATAGATCAAAGGAACAGAATAGAGAGCCCAGAATTAAACCCACACCTATATGGTCAATTAATACTTGACAAATGAGGCAAAAATATACAATGGAGTAGAGTTAGTCTATTCAATAAATGGTGTTGGAAAAAATGGACATTGCAAAAAAAATGAAATTAGACCACCTTCTTACATCATACACAAGAATAATCTCAAAATTTTGAGAATAATCTCAAAAATTTTAATGATAGACTCAAAACCATAAAAATCATAGAAGAAAACACAGGTAGTAAAATCTCAGTAATTTCTTGTAGCAATATTTTATGCTGATGGATCTCCTCGGGGGATGGAAACAAAAGAAAAAATAATCAAATGGGATTACATCAAACTGAAAGTTTTTGCACAGTGAAGGTAGCCATCAACAAAATGAAAGGACAACCCACTGCATGGGAGAACATATTTGCCAATGATACATCTGATGAGGGGTAAATATCCAAAATTTATGAAGAACTTATACAACTTAACATCAAGAAGACAAACAACCCAATTACAAAATGTGCAAAGGACCTGAATAGACACTTCTCTAAAGAAGACATACAAATGAAAAATAGATATATGAAAAAATGCTAAATGTTACTTAGTCACCAGAGAAATGATAATTAAAACTGCAATGAGATATCACCTCACACCTGTCAGAATGACTCTTCAATAAATCAATGAGCAACAAGTGCTGGTGAGGATGTGGAGAAAAGGGAGCCCTCATGCACTGCTGGTGGGAATGCAGGCTGGTGCAGACACTGTGGAAAATTGTATGGAGTTACCTCAAAAAATTAAAAATTGAACTGTGTTACAACCCAGCAATTCCACTAATGGGAATATTATCTGAAGATCCCAAAACAGTAATTTTAAATAATATGTGCACCCCTATGTTCATTGCAGCATTATATACAATAGCCAAGATTTGGAAGCAGTGTCCTTCAGTAATGAGTGGATAAAAAAGCCGTGGTACATATACACAATAGAATATTATGCAGTTGTGAAAAAAAGAAAGAAATCTTACCCTTTGTGATAGCATAGAGGGACCTGGAGGGCATTATGCAAAGTGAAATTAGCCAGTCAGAGAAAGACAAGTACCATATGATTCCACTCATATGTGGAATCTAGTGAACAAAATAAACTAACAAAGAAAACAGAAGCAGACTCAGAGAGAACAGACTGACAGCTAGCTCTCCAAGGGGAGGTGGGTTTCAGGCTGGGTGAAAAAGGTAATGGGATTAAGCAAAAAAAGAAAAAGAAAGAAACTCCTAGACAAAGACAACATGATGGCAATTACTAGAGGGAAGTGGGTGTAAGGGGGGCTAAATGGTGATGGGAAGAGACTTGACTTGGAGTGGTGAACACAGTACAATATACAGATGATGTGTTATAGAAAGGTGCACCTGTAACCTATATAATATTAACCTATGTCTCCCCAATATATTTTTTTAATGAAAAAATAAAAAGCAGGGAGGATAAAATAATAGAAAGTTGTAAAGTTTTGACATAAGAGAAAAGGATATTATTCAGATATATGCCATAATAACTGCTAATACTGTTTAAAATATTTATCATTCTTAAAATCTGGAAAATAAATTCTGTGACATACACTGAAGGAAATATTTTTACAACATAACGGAAGGAAGGAGAATTTACTGTAAAGGGTGTGCCGATGGAGCAAACCGTTACCAGCGTGCCATGGTATGCCCAGTCTGCGTGCAGCACCCGGAATTATAAGTGTTGTTTTCTTTACAACAGTTTCCATTACAGGTTACCAAAAGGGATGGTTTGCATCAGATATAATTTTCTGTACTATAGACACATCACAATGCAGAGCCTCTGCATACTGTTTGAAGTTAGCCATAATGATCATGTAGCCCATTTGCTGACTGCTTGCAAGACTCTTTGTATCAGGCGGGAAAAGTTCAGTGAACTCCCTGTAGGCATGGTATTTGCAGAATTCCCTGACGTCATAAGACCACTCTGGTGTCTGAAGGTAGCCATTTGGTGACTGCCCTCTAATCTCCTTAACTTCAATCACAGTATTTTTCTTAATTACTGCTTTAGTGTTACTTTGTTAATGTGTGGTCTTCTTATTTTTTCTTCCAGTTAATACGATTCTTAAAAATCTCAATTAGAGATCATTAACACTAATTTTAGCCAAAAGTAACAACACTATTTAGGTAAGGGAGGATTATTACTGTTTTTAAAAAATGTTTTAGATGTAGTCTATAAAAGGCAAATAATCACTTAAAGAACAATTTTTTCTGTTTTTTGTATTTAAAAAAAAAAACTGACTTTTTAAAGAAGTCATTTAGTATATCATTGCATGCTCTATTGAGGGAAGTGATTTATAAAAGATGTTTCCTGTTGAAAGTTTTTGACATATTTTTTATTTTAAAAAGTTATGCATATCCAATATGTAATATATTTTAGGGTATGACATTTCCTGCACAATACAGTAAAGAATAAGTTTCAAAACAAGAATTGTTCTTTTTCCCCTAAAATTTTAAAGATCTCTCAAAATGAGAAATAGTATCAAAATTAACTACTCTTGTCATTATAAGACCCTGTAGAGAATTTTATAAAAACGTATTCAAGGCACAAAGAAGATACATCTAGAAGCAAGATGTCAACAGACTGAGATAAATGCTCTGGATAAAAACAGTCCTGCAGTTTCTCTCCTGTGTTTGAAATTAAGGAGGAACATACCGAAGATGGCCTGGAGGAGGGAGAAGCAATAAGGGACTGGATTCAGGGCAGTTAGTAAGATTACTTTGTCTCTGTGGGTGGTCACTGTTTATTTCAAAGGTGTGTTAACCTAGATGCACAGAAACGGTGAACAGAATTTGCTTAAAAAACTTTCACTAAAGAAGTTATTATATGCCTGGGATGTGACTACCCACCTTGACCTGCCCGGTTAGGAATTTATGATCAGATCACCCTGTGGGGTTCCTTTCCATTAAACCCCCTCTTTTGTTCACACTCGAATACCTCCCTTTGAATTCTTCAGTTTTTCTCTTTTTTTATGAATTCTTCAATTTTTCAATAATTATAATTTATTGCCTAAATCAAAACAAATGTTACTAGTATCCAAGTAGCAAAATTGCCCCAAATCAATCACAAAAGTAGAACGTCCCTTTTTCTCTTTATACCACTCCTGGTTTCCTTTAAATGGGTGCATAATGTTTATTCATTCAGTCAACAAATAGTTCATGGCAGCACCATGTTTCAGATACTATTTTGTCTTCAAGATTCCAAGATAAATCAGACAATTCTCTCATTGTAAACCTCCATGCATGTATAAATCCTTATTCTAAAGAGTAAACTAAATCCCCTGTATTCTTTAGGTTACAATGTATCTAACTAAAAAATTGTTAAAGAAAAATTAATGTTCTAAATGTTGGATACTAGATGATATATCTTAACATCCCAGATAAAATCATTTGATTTATCCTCTCAAGAGAATGTTCTTTGTAATGTGTTGTTTTATAAGCATACGGGTATCCTGATTTTGACATCTACTTCAATAATAGGAGTAGGAAATATTACATACTTTCATGTCTCTGTTTTTGTTTTTGTCCATGTCAATTCTCAGTGTTAGTCTTTTGGGAAAGTATAGTGCAGACCAAGGAA